GCCCCACCCCCCACACACACACACACACACACACACACACACACACACACACACTTCCTCATTCTCTCCTGACACAAAATTATATCAACAGCAATTCATTAAAATGACTCATCTTCTAACATGGCTCACTGGCTCTTCCTCTCTCGGATTTGCACACACAAACACATTTGAAAAAGCCTCTTTAGTACTATCAGCAAGTGCATGTTCAAATTATATCATATGTTGAGATGTCTACAAATACATAATGACACTGTGCCTTCACCTCAAGTCTAGGCATGACCTTTTATACAGTCTATGATCATAACACCATGTAATCAGTCAGACCATCACTTACACACCCTCCACTTTCAACATACCTTGAGCAACATGAGGCCTGTTTTACGAGAAAGACAGAAAGTGACTGAGAGATGGCGTTTAAAGTCCCTGTAAACCCAGACAGGCTTCATGAATGACATAACGGTATTTTAAGGTCCTCCATACAATATAAACACACCTTCACGCACTTGCTACATGGATTATGAAACCACTATGTAGTGTTCTTAAGTGTTAGTGAAGTGTCACACAATTTAAAACCGCTTTCTTTCTCACTCAGACGCAGACACGCGTGTGCGCGCGCGCTGACATGGTACGTGCGCTTTGACCACACAGTCGAACGCAGAACGTCACAGTCACCATAACAACAGAGCAAGTAAAGCGTTTTTCGTGGACATAAATATAAAAGTGCGTTAAATACACGGGTGCACACGATCAAAAAAGTCGCAAGCTTTTCCTCTGCACGCTTGAGGAAGGACGGACTGGCCAGTCGAACACGGGCTGTACAAGTGGGTATGACCCTGATAAATGCGTGACAGGAATCACGGGCTTCGCAGATGGATGGTAACGTTCCTCTGCGGGTTTTAAAACACACGGACTATGCACTCACCCTGCAAGTTATGCACTCACCCTGCGGTAGTGTCTTCTCGCTCAGCGGCGCAAGCCTCACAGTCACATCTGCTGGAGTCAATCACCAGAAGGATGATTTGACAGTGGGCGGGGTCTCCTGCGCAAATTCTCCTTGTATTATACGGCAATTTGGCTGTCCGTCAGGGTGACAGCTTGCACGCGACAAGGTGCGTCATACAATATGGGCGTGTCTTATCTGACGCTGACTCCTCCTTCTTGATCTCTCCGTACATGAAGGAGCAGCGTCTCCTCCTCACCGCTCACTTCCCCAAAGAGATAGGCGTTTACCTGTATGAAAAATTTGATTGGCTAAACATAATGTTGGGAAAAATTTTGCATCCCTGCTACTTTCCTCTGGCAACTCGCAAGGATAGTAAGCCGTTGGCTTTTGTGTTTTGTGCGCACTTTAAACTGCACTCCCTCAAGAAACTAACCTTGATCATTATAATCAACGACTATGCTTGTACAGTACATTCATTACAGATTTTTTGTTTTAATAACTTGATAAATGTTTATTTTATTATGTAATGTATACAGATATTCTACTATTTTTTCTATTACTTTTCTTATTTTATTCATTAACTAGCACTTATTGTATACAGTTTTATTGCTATTTTGTTATTTTAATATTGTATATTTCTTTTTCTTGTCATTGCTTGTTTTGTCTGTAATACTTTGGCAATATTATATGTAAACACAAGCATGATAGTAAAGTACTTTAAAATTTGAAGTGACAACTATTAATGTATATACTTAATGTATATAATAAAGTACTTTGGTTTAAAAATATGACTTGCATAGTAATTAAGGATGTAGAGTAATTAATTTTTTTTTACTTTTATGTATGACATATTATTTCTGTATTATTTTTTATAAAATGGAATGTAACATTCAACCATTTCTGAAATACGTAAACACATTTTCAAGTAATTATTTAACCCTCTGGGCCTCTTCGTTTAGGGGTCACACTTGGCTCCTTCACGAAGCCTTGAAATTTTACTTTTTTTTTCAGGAAAATCAGTATAATACATTTTTGTTTAATAATATATATATATATTTTTTTAGAATTTTGAGGGGATTTTATGATACTATGCAGTATTTATACAATTTTAATGAGCTATTTTTCCATTAGAATTAATATATTTTTATTTATTCAATTATTTATTTATTATTTTTCAATAAATGCAACATTTCATGTTAAAACAGTGAAAAGATTTAAAATCCATTTCTTTGAAGTGAGAATTGTGCCATCTGGTGGCATACAAAAATCAAAACTTGTGTAATGTCATGTAAATTCCTGTATAGTTTCCTATATACATACAGTATATACAGAGGCCTTTGGATTCCCATTGTTTTTTTTAGACATAATTTCTTCATTTTATTAGGTTTTACTTTTAGATATATATTTAGACATTCTAAAAGACTACTTTTTGTCAAGGTTTATATATTTTCGGTTAGATAAATATCAGGTTTTGCATTATGATTTCAATCAATATTGAATATTCTCAAAATTTGCTCTGTTGCAGTCTTACCAGTTAATTTCTCTGTGTGTGTGTGTGTGTGTGTGTGTGTGTGTGTGTGTGTGTGAGAGAGTATTTTTTTTTTTTT